CTCCCGAACCTCGACTGGAAGCTAAAACCCTGTTTTTGTAGTAGCATAAAGGGAACTACAACCTTGTGTTGTAAACAACAATAAAATAACCTCGAGTCTTTGTACATCAGCCTTTGTGAACCTGTCACTTTGTAATTATAAATTTTTCAGGCTGACAACAAATAACTGCTTTTTTGAAGATCTGAGTGCAGATTTAAAGCAGGTTTTCATGCTAACTTTAAAGCCAAAAGCAGGCTTAAGTTTGTCACTTCATAATGCAATGAAATTCTCTCCTTCATAAACTTTAATTAACAGTAAACAGTTTTTACAGCTTCACAAATAGTTACTGTAACTAAATGACTTAAAGTCTTGTCGTATCTCTGCATGCAGATTCCTCACAAACTTCAGGAATAATCACTTTTCTTAACATGGTCCAAGCACCATGTGCTTCCAAACAGCTGCAGACACCCCCTTCCTCCCCTCACCTCCCCCACCCCCGGTTAGTAAAGTCCTGATTGGTTCACTGAAACTGGGCGTCTCTCACTGCTGTTTCTGAGTGAGTGAGCCAGTAGATCCACCAGTTATCTATTTCTGTAGATGAAGTATTTTGTTTCCTGTGCAGCAATTGTCTTTGTTTTTTGGAGGGGAGGCCAGAGGTCACAAAGACGCTTAAACAGGAATAGTTTCTGCAAACTTTCTCTAACCCTTTCACATGAAAATAGGTCCTTGCAGAATGTTGATGGGAAGAAAACACAAGCGCTAGGCAGGCGTTTCGGGGTGCATACCTAGACACACCAGGAGGTGTCGGTACAACCAGAAGTGCTGGTACTCAGTACCTGTGAGAACTGCAAACAGACAGAAAAACTAATATTTTGCAACATTTGTTAAAAAAGCCCAACACCAGAAAACGGGTGAATGTGTTTTATTTCTCTGCAGCATTTTTTGCACATTTTCTTTTGTTTTGTCTTTTTGTAACCATCTTCTCTGGCTGCAAAGGTTTGTTCTCTGAACACAAATGCTCTAAAAATAATTTTTAAAAAGTCTTAGATTTAGATGTTCCTTTTCTTGAGTAAATTTCATCCTGGTAGTGGCACTAGAGGAAAGGCAAGGAGGTCACCAAATGTATCAGGGGTTATCCTCTAGGGACAATGAACAACTATTTCATGTAAATCTGGTTAATATTTGTAGAGCTACAGCACTTTAGACCAAAGCTGTCCAACAGAAACATCATGCTGCTCATGGAACAAAAAAAGGACCTGGTAATGATTCAGTTTGACAAATCAGCAGAGTATAAGCTCCATCTGTGACCCTGAATCCTAATTATACCCTCAGAAACAAGTATAGAGTAGCCGCCTCATGGGTTTTTCTGCTTTCTTAACCTCAAGTGCTGCCAGAGCCACCTGCTTTCAGCGGATATCAGCTTCACAGATACCAACAGGCAGTAAAATTAGAGCAGCCAAAGCTTTGTCCAACATTACGAGCCAGTGTCATCTTTCAGTGGATGGTTTCCGTGCTGAAAAGAAAACGTCGTCCAAAAGCTTAGAGGCAGTTCTGATTTCTCACCAGTTCGTCTAATGAGGAGCAATCCAATATAATCTTCATGGTGAAAACACAGGACGGGAGGACGATAGGCTAGTCTAATCTGACAAATCTTTGTAGTTCTTCAGATGGGAGTCTATGTTACCCAGTTTAATGTTCCCCTAATCATCCCTGGGAACATAGGAATGACCCCCATTCAGATGTGGTGGGAACACAAACAGGAATGTTCAGAGGGGATTTTCAGTTCCTAGTTTATTTCCTCTGGTTTAATAGTTCCTGCAGTGTTTGGAGGCTGGCCAAGGTCTTATTTCCCCCGCCATAGTTTCATAATGAACCAACAATATTTGGTATATTACCGTGACATTACTAAAAATACGTGTTTTTCTTCTTTGTTGGTGTCTGCAGCCTTCTATCAGTAAAAATGGAGCGTACCTTCATTGCTGTGAAGCCTGATGGCGTCCAGAGAGGACTGTGCGGCGAGATCATCAAGCGCTTCGAGCATAGAGGCTTCAGGCTGGTGGCTGCCAAATTCACGCAGGTAACCATGACGACGGCTGGCCAGCCAATGTTTTCAAACCAGGAAGTTAAAAATGAAATAAAATGTAAAAGAAACCAGAGGACTGAATAAATGGTGACAGTTCATAAAGTCTAACTCACAAAGAAACATTAAGAGAAAGAATATGATCGTAATACAGCTCCTAAAGGGTCCAAGATTTATAAATATACAGATATTTTTATTAGATTTAATTTGAGTACTGTGTGTATTAAGCACAGGTTATATTATTGTATGATACAAGGTCACATGTAATAGAATTCATATGAGCTTTTATATTATCAGCATTAGAATGAATTTATGTAAAAACTTTTATATACTTTTATAACTATGAAAGGGAAGATTTTATCTTTTGCCACCTATTGTTCTTACACTCAAGGTCCTTACAAAGATAGAAGCACAGTACACACACACACACACACACACACACACACAGAGCAGCTGTTGAGTTGTTGAGTGTCGCACTGAAGGACTCAGATCACAGTCCCATACTCAGTGTAGTTATTCCCAGCTGTTCTATGTGTGTTTGCTGGTGATGTGACCTCCACTGTCTGTGTGGATTAATACTCTACAGGCGTATAACAGCAGTGAGGATGAACTCAAACTTTGGTTATCAGACTTCAAACAACAGTTTTACACTAAAGAATAAAAAATAGAATAAAAATGGTGGACAGGTGCTCAGATCTTTAGGTGAACCAAGGTGAGATATAGAGTTGTGTGTCATCGGCATAGAGGAGGATAAAAGATATCATATTTGTAAAAAATAAATCTAATAAATGTACAGACAGGAAATTATGTAAATGAATGCTAAGCTAGGCTAACCACGCCCTGACTTGCTCTGTACTACACGTGAGATCGATATCCATCAGTTTGAAAGAGTTCAGGATAGAATTTGTGATCAGGTATAAATATTCTGTACACACTAAAAATCACTGGGTTAAAAAGTGACCATGTGTGGATTTGTTCATGTGTTCAATCATATATTAAACATGATTAAATCTGTGTTATTATTCATTTGAAGTGTTTATACACCAGTTACGAACATATCACAGTAGAAGTTATAAAACATTAATGAACCTTGTTTGCACATTAAAGTGTATTATAAACCGTTTATTAAGTGGTTATAAACGCTAAAAGTAAAGTCTATTATTTTTAATGCTGTCAGATAACTGGACAGAAGGAAACTTTCTTTTGCTGTGTCTTTGGATTAATATTTTGTATTTGGTGTGCGTTTAGGCATCTGAGGACCACATGAAGAACCACTACCTGGACCTGAAGGACATGCCTTTCTATGGTGGACTCTGCAAATACATGTCTTCTGGACCCATTCTCGCCATGGTACACACACACACACACACACACAGATACACATTAAGAATAAACACACAAAGACATCCTACACATCTCCGGCACTCGAATCACTCAGATATCTTTCTCTTTTTATCTCTTTCCACGTCATCAACAATCCATCACACCTCTCTCTCTCTCTCTTTCTTTATGTGCTCGCTCGCCTAGCAGTTGTCTCTCTCTTCACACCCTCTTTGTTTTCAAGGTCTCTCTCCTTTTATGGAGCTGACGGTCGATCGCTGTCAGGATGTGTGAAAGGTGACCTCGAACAGCTCCAACGTATTATAGATTCCTCCTAAAGCATCCTTCTGAATGTGCGTCCATCCATCGACAGTGATGAAAGTATTCAGATGCTTTACTGAAGTAAAAATACTGAAACCGCACTGTAAAAAATACTCCCTACAGAGATAGACCTTTAGTTTACCAGAAACAGCCGTAATATCACTGTCACTCTCCACCACACTAGACAGAAACACTAATTTTACCTCATAGATCATTGTGGCATCGTAACGCCTCCCCGAGCACACAGGTCACAGGTGTGTTGGTGTGTTTGCAGGTGTGGGAGGGTCAGAGCATTGTGAAGCTGGCCAGGATGATGCTGGGTGAGACCAACCCCGCTGACTCCAAGCCTGGCAGCATCCGTGGAGACCTGTGCATCAACATCGGCAGGTGAGTGAACACTAACACACACACACACACACACACACACTCACACACACACACACATAAACACATTGAGCATTTGTAGAAGTATCATGTAATTATTGGCAGTAGTCATTAATCAGTTAAATATTATGTATCCTACATATAAACTGACAATAGCATAACTAAATATTGACTGATTGACTCTGTGGAAGCACAGTTCCACTACAAAAATATAAGATATATATTATGAGATAATGAGTCATAATTATGAGTTAGAAATGTTTGTTCTGGAGTTACGTAATAAAATTACCACTTATAAGTCAAAATTATAACAGAAATCTAACAATTAAAGTGAAAAAGAACAAGAGAAGAAAAGAAATCATACATTTTTAAGTCAAAATTATAATATTAAAGCACATATACAAAATTCTAAATCAAAATCTGATAGTATCTCAAAATAATGCTTATAAGTCAAACGTTTCATTCATAAATGATTTCTTGGCACTTTTGGCCTGCCATAATCCGATGGAACATCATGTAAAGTTATTTTAATGAAACACACATTATGGTCTTTTTAAATTTTTTTTGTTTGTTTTTTTAACATATTAATGTACAGTTTTGATTACATTATCATAATCACTGACTCACACTCTCATATCAGAGCCGTCCGTTGTTCCACTGACCTTCCTTCTCTGTTCCCTCAGGAACATCATCCACGGCAGCGACACCCTGGAGAACGCCAAGAGGGAGGTCGACCTGTGGTTCAAGGCCGAGGAGTTCGTTGCCTACACCCCCTGCGGCCAGCCCTGGCTGTACGAGTAAACTGGCCAATCACAGACCAGTAAACTGCACCCAACTGGACCCCACTGACCCCGCCCCGTCACATCTGTTGCCCCCCCTACAGTCGATCGTCTGACTTGGTCTTCACTGATCAATTCCGAACATGTAGCACTTATCAATAAAGTCTCATGTTAACAACAACTGTCGCAGTCTCTGAGTGTTTCTGAATGTTAATGACATTCCCATCAGCCTCAGCTGAATAAATGTTAGCATGCTAACCATACACTACATAAGTGAACATGGCCGGCGCCATCTTGGCAGTCCTGACTCCGCCTGTGATGGCACCCACCTGTCACTCAAAGTGGCCACACCCTTATTACCTATAGAGACCAGCCTTTAGTGGTCGTTAGAGGAACTGCAGGTTTTGTTTGCGTCAGTGTTGCAGTCAGAGTTCGCTCTCAATGCCCCGTTCACATTCACAGTAAGTCATTACTGGTGTTTAACTACAGATACTCAGTTTGTGATACGGTAAATATATAAATACTGAAATACTTTCCTCAGTGGCCATTGGTTGTACTTGTCCTGTTAGTTAAATACCCGTTTTAAAATTAATGAAAGAATTCCCGTCGGTCTCAAATGTACACATTGCTAATGCTAGCATGTTCATTTCAATTCAATTCAATTTTATTGGTATACCGCCAATTTCATAACAGAAATTATCTCAGGACACTTTTCAAATAGAATCAAGTCTAGACGAACCTCCTATTCATTACAAGAGACCAACAGTTTACCACCATGAGCAATACCTTGAGACGGGGGCAAGAAAACTGCTTTAACAGGCAGAAACCTCGGCTCTAGGTGGGTGGTCATCTGCCTTGACCAGTGCATTTCTTGGGGACTATATTCAGCGGTAAATTAATCCACAGTAAACAGTTTATGTTGATATAACAACATAAACTGTTGACTGAGATGTAGTTTTACTGCAGGCGGGTGTGTGCTTGTTATTCTGTACGAGAGGCTGCTTTTAGCGCGCAGAGGTAAAATAATCCACACGTTTCAGGCTGAATATCAGTAGTGAGAGCTTCAGCCGTTGGGCTCCACATTACACCGATGCTGACGGGGAAAAAAAGGACTCCAGAACAGAAAGATCAGCTGAATCCTACCCCCTTCAGCAGCTGACAGAAACATCCCAAACATCAGGAGACGCTGCTGACCTCAGATCTGCTGGGTCCAGGATGGAAACACATCAGGCTCAGATCCAGATCCTGAGTGTGAGGAGCGGACAGAACCAGACAATGCTGGTCAGGGATTCAGACCCAGCAGGCAGCAGCCCCGCGTCCCTGCACTAATGCCACCATTGGTTTTAGGAGTCCTCTTTGTCCCACTTTATAGTCCTAACATTTGGTTCCTGCGGTCTGCTTTGGGTTTCTAGCAGCTGGTTTCACTCTTTATTTTTAAATATTGTTTAATTGATGTGAAATTAGTTGCCAGGAACATCCCTTGCTCAGTATTTTCCAGCCTTTTTTATCAGTGAGTAAACTGACTATATTTTCTGCATGTTTCATATTCTATTGATCAGTATCAATAACAGTAGAGAACAGCTGATAAACTGAACAATGAACCCAGAATGTAATAACTGCAGGAAGTTCGTGAAAAACCAGATTTGATTATTTCCTGTGTATACTGACCAGAGTTATGTTTTTTGGATGTTTTGTAACATTTTATACAATTATCCGTCTGTATTGTGTTTTTGTAACTTGTAACAATATAAATACTAAAACACCTAAACTTAACGAAAAAACGTGTAGATTTAGTCTTCTTACACCCATTAAAATCAAGGCTTTGTGACCCCTGTGAAGCCTTGGTGGCCGATACGATCGTGCATCGTTATTATAACTCAACATTATGAAAAAGGATCAGGTGTTCAGATAGGAAACTACTGCTGAGTCAACCACAAGGTACTGAAATAAAAGACACAAATAATGCACAACGTGATAACTTCATTCTCCTCATAACTTTTTTTATTGCATAAAAAATGTAAAGTGAGTCATCTAAACGTAATAATTTCTTCACAATCATGCTGCCAAAAATTGCACAATGTATTAAAAAAAAGCTTCATGAAAGTTAACATCAGTACATAACTACATTTCTTTTGTCATACACTTAGTATATAGATTTAAATCTATATAGAGATTTTTTAAAAACATTTGTTTTGATAAGAGCTCAGTAAACATCATGTTCACAGCACAAACATGTGGACCAAATGGACATTAACAGACACAAATACAGTTCAGATCGCAACCTTTTTTTTTTTTTTTTTTAATCCAATGGCACATGTATTCAAAAGAGAAATAAATAAAACCTCACCAGTCTGGGTTCGGCTCTGCAAGCTTTTCTGTTTTTTATCAGCTCTGTCTTGCAGGTTTTGAAGGCTGCCTGTGAAGTGTACATTTACAGATCGGATAACGGCTAAAACACAACACAAAAGCTTCTTTATTGGCCATTTTTAAAACAAGGGCTGTACCAATGGGAGATCACATGATGTTAATAAACGCAGCCCAAGTTGCCGTAAGAACCTGAGGGCGGACGTGGTTGCTAATAGTTCAGGAATTACCACGTTATGTAAGTTATAAAGTTTTCTGTGATCCAGGGTTGGGCAACTAGACAAAGTTTCTCATTCTGAGATACTAAGTCAATTTCTTGAGGAAGCTTCTCATTATGACTTAATTATTATTTTTTGTCACATCAGCGGCAATGGGCTTCCATACTTCAAACCCCACAGAAACCCTATAAAGCCCAAGAAGTCGTCGTTCCAATTGCTGATATACACACATACATCCCAAATGGACGAGGAAGATCATCAACTCGCAAACATGAATCCTTAAGCTGAGCAGTTTTACCTTTAACACACACATCGAACATTTTCTCCGTATACAAAATCTATCGCAAACTGCTGCATCCAAAATACAACTTCTTCCGCTCCTGTCAAAATCGTTCCATAAAAACTTTATCAAACGTGAATATATCATCGATAGATAGCACCGTAATACAAAGAAGACAGTTTGACAGTATTGGAGAGTCACGTACAAAAAGACAACACTTAACAGACGACACACTAACACAGTAGTGCGAGTAACAGGTGTGAAGTTTAAAACAGCTACAAGATCAGTGTGCAAGATACACACACATACACACATATACACACACACACACACACACAGCCCTATAACAATTGATTTGTGCGTTATCATCGAGCCTTTCCCTCCTGGAAAACAGGCACCTTGTGTGGGATAAGTATGGAAGCCAACAAAAAACAATTAAACCCAATTCAGAACTTTGACAAACGCACCGCCATCACCTTTGTGCTCATCTTTTTTCTTTTCTTGACAGAAAAGAGCTCCCATAGTTAGATTAGATTTGACGAGATTAAAACAGACTACTTTAGATTATAATGTAATCAGCAGTGTTAATTTCTGCACCCAATTTGGATTTTGTTGTTTTAGTTTAGTTTTTTGTTGATCTCAACTAAGTAAGTTAAGTTTCTCATTATAGATGGATAATGACTTACAGAATCTTTTTCCCCTATCACATTGGCAGAAATGGGCTTCCATATTTTGCACACCAAGTCCATTGTTCTTTGTCTCAAATTGTCAAATGTTAAAAAATAAATACGACCTCACATTGAACCAATTATATTTACACACCCACTCCTGAAAACTTTATTGATGGATGAAACTTTTTCAAAGCAGGTCAAACTCTCCTCGTTTGACAACTTGAACCCGATATTCCTGTTTTCTTTTTCTACTAGTGAGACAAAAATTATCCTCACGGCTCCGTCTTGTATTGTGGATTTCAAAATCTAATTTAACAAATCATCGGATTCAGTGTGGAAGGTTTCTATGTGTAACATATTTAATTGAATTAAGGTTTAAAAAAAAAATACCTTAGAAAAATGTGGACTTGATGTGCAAAGGCTAAAAAAACCTGACTTTTTTAAAACGTTACCTTTTTATAATTTCATGTTTTATCCCAGCAGTTCTGTTGCTGTTTGTTGAATAATTTCCGGTCGGACTATGATTTTGTCCATAAATCTTTTAGTTTTGTTAACTAATGTTAATTTAATTGTTAACGTTCATTTGTTTTTGTTCAATAACATTTTTAAGCTTTACAGTTACTTTTTATTTAGGTTTTCTAATTTTCTGTCAGTTTTTCATTGACAAAATTAACACGACTAATTAGAATAGATTGTCGTTTACTCTGTAGTTGTGCGGTCTAATGTAGCTGGACTGTCAACCAGCCACATTTACTGAATATTATAAATAGTTGGGGACCTCCTTCTGATCACATCAGGGATAATAATGGAGAGATTTGGGTCGTGGTCATTATAACTGCATCCAGAGACACAAAAAAGGGCTGGAGCTTGAATCAAATGCACACATAAAAAAAAATCACTCATGACATTTATAAAGGACATTACTGCCGTCTTATTGTGGCTACAAACTCCTGACGTGTTCAGATTTACACAGACAAAACTAACACTCAACATCACAAATAGAAAAGGTTTAAATCAAGTGGCGCCGACATTGTTGAGCCGTTACTGTCGACACCAGCAAACGTAATCCGACACTTTCCCTCAAGTCTTTGTTCAGTCGCGTTCACAGAAACACACGTTCTAAGGCATCTTTTTCTTTTTTCAGTTTGGCCGTCCCGACATACAGAGGCGGTGGTTTCATCTCTTTTCTGAAATGCTTCATAATGTGCTAACTTTAGCACGTTAGCATGCTAACATAACAACATGCTAATCCTTAATCTGAACTCAACTGGGAATGGGAATGTTTTGTTGCTGCTTATTATTACATTTCCAGGCAGACTATAGATAATTTAGTCCATATATATTTTACTTTTGTACACTAATGTTAACTTAATTGTTAATTTGTCCATTTTTATATATTTTGTATATATTTTATTGTTTCCAAAGTTACTTTTTACTTAGCATTTCTAAAATCCTCTCCTTAGTCTCCATAATGTGCTAACTTTAGCACAGTAGCATGCTGATATGTTAGGAGGACTGTAATGAGTCTGCTACCGTTAGCATGCTACCGTTTAATCTGAACTCAGCTGAGAATAAGGATGGGAATCGAGAACCGGTTCCAAATCGCCTGATCCATTGGAATCGTACACCTCCGAACTAATCAATTCCTTCAGCAAACAAAGCGTTTTCTTACTCTGTTTCTACACTTTGTTCCGATTTGAAGACAATAAAACTGTTGCGGGCGTTGATACTGAAAACTTGTGTATGCAGGAATCAATAAGGGAATCGATAAAGAATCAACAATGACACTAGGATCAATACAATCTTATCAATTCCCATCCCAAAGTTTGAAGTAATTATGGTCATAAATACGAAATAACTTTGGTGAATGCAATGCCCTCCTGTATATGATAAATGACTTAAATCTACCATATTTAATATGGCGTGGGATCAATAAAGTCTATTTTTTAGAACAGTTTAATAATCTGATGATAATTATTACTAGAATCTTTTACAATCAAATATACTCCAGCGTTTTTTAAATAATCTCTATTATACCATATTATAGCATTTTGTTTTTCCAACCTTTAATAGATTTTTTTAATCATTAATAAACTTTTTGTGAGGTATCAATAGTTTTCACGTCAAGACATAATTACTGTTAGTTGCTAAACTACAATTAACTTTTATTTATCGAGGGAAGTTTCTTCATCAACACCCTGCTTCACATTTATAAGTTCCACACATGGGACCATAGAGCTGCCCAGTATAAACACACTGGTGACTACTGGAAACATCCCAGTACAACTTTCAGTGAGATATTTTTAAAATAAAACAGGGAGTAAAAATCAGAAGAAGCCAGAATCTGTAGACTCTCACACTGCAGCCGCCACAATAATAATAATAAAAACAATAATAATTTACAAAGAAATTGAGTATCTGTCTTCATTTATTAATTATTACTGATCTGTGACACTATATTGGTCATCAGTTCTTTCTGAATATCAAATAATGTTAAATATTAGAGCTGGTTGTTCAATACCAGAGTTTCAGTACCGAGGGGACGTTTTTTGTTTTCATTAAAAAAAAGAAGCCAATGTTGTCAAATGTTAAAGGTTGTACAATAGAGACATGATTTAGGAGCCAAATGCTACAGATATATCACTTTAATAACCTGTGAACTTATTAGCAACTGAGCTAACAAGCTTGCTAACTCACAGTTAGCTTTAAAGCTAGCTTGGAGAGCTTTTCTTCCCTTCTTCATTTTCAATTTGTCTGACAGCCTGTTGTCTGAAAACAAGCAGCCCTTTCTCCAAAGTATTTTCCAGAAATACAAACACTCCCTGGAGGTTTTTGCCCAGAAGATCTTTGTGAATTTGGATGTGTTCCATCATCATGGTAACAATAATAAACACGTGGTTAAACGGTGGCAGTTTAGGCATCAAAAGTACTTTTTTACATTTTTCAGACAATTGTTTTTTTTTTGGAAAAATGGAATGACTCCAACTAAAGTAACTCACAGACTAGCCATGAGAGGAGTCACTGCATCACTAAGAACCAATCTTAGGTAAAATAACTGTTTTATTACTCTTACATTTTGTACTAATTAGACTTTTTTGGCTTTTGGCGGTCCTGAAACTCAAATATTGAATCAAACCAGTACTGAACATTTTAAACAACCTACATTAATCATTAGTCATTGCGATTGTTTGGACATTGATTAACTGCAGTTGCTCTGACAGAACCCTGTAGCTAACAGATGTTTACAACAAAAAGTGTGTTTCTTTGCCGACGAGGAGGACGTATTTTCATCCAAACTTCACTCACATTTGGCTGGTTTTAAACTTTCCAACAAACTGATGCTCAATACATCGGAACAATATACTGCAGCTAATAGATTATCTCATTGTTTGAAAGCATTTCTAACTGACTCTGTAACAACGCAAACTGCCAGCAGTGGTTCAAAAAACAAAACCAATTAACTGCCGTGGCTCTAACGGGGTTCTTGTTTCCAGAATCCAAACCGCAGCACTCACACACACATTAACACTCATACAACATTTTTAAATGACTGCTAATCTCAACATGACATTACACAGCATCCAGTATTATTATTATTACGTCAAGAGTTTTGACCCTTGAACACACCACGTGAACACGTACAAACAACAAAGATCTTGGCGTTAAAAAAATCTTCATAAAAAAGTTTCTCATGTTTTTTTTTTTTCCTGTCGATTCCTTTTTTTCCTCCGAGGAACCAAAGATGATTAACGCTGCTGTTTGGCGTATCTGTTCTCCTTCCTCTTCTTCTTTTATTCTGGTCTTTTTTGCCCTTGTTGCTCAGTCAGAAGAGTCTAACAGAGTGTGTAGTTAAACATTTTCCCACACTGTCAAACTGGTATTTTGTTCTTGGTTAAGTCAAAAAAGGGAGATGAGGGAGTTTTGGACATGAAAAGTAAGGACCCGGTCAGACCAGCATGACCTCAATTTCTTTAAAAAGAAATGACAGGGATTGGCTCATAAATAATAAATCTCTTGAATAAACAGTGTTTAGTTTTAATCCTGTTAGCAACGAGCTAGCTATCGTCTTTATTGGCAGTTGACAAACTAGCTAACTTGGTAGCCTACCGTGGCTGGCTAATGGTAGCATGTTCAAACAGACTTTTAGAACAAAAAGCAACGATAACGTTAAATTCTGAGAATAATAATGAGAAGACAAAACACCTTCAGTAAAACAATTGACTGTAATTAACAGATCATGTCATCATTTGAGTGAAACTTCAACAACAATTGACCGTTCCAATGTCCACTAGGCTCGAATCAAAATATTTGACAAACCAACTTCAGCTTCAAGCTTTTGGTTGCTGCTAAAGCATCTAGATTGTAGAGCTAGCCAGCTTCCTAACTGGCAGTTGGCAGCTAGATAGCTTGATGGGCTACTGTAGCTAGCTACAGTATCGCCAATGAGCTTCGCATTTACTCATACATGCAGCGTCATAGCTAGAATCACATTTTATTTACTTGAAAAGTAATTTCAATAAAAAAAATGTGGGGAAAATTGGCTAAATACTTAATTTTTGTATTCAATATAATGAGTCTCTGGTCTGACCGGGCACCAAGAGATAGACTGAGGAGTAAACACTGTGGATGTTGAGGTGGAGGAAGGTCAGCAGTCGTGTTCACAGAGGATAAAAAAAGGGTTTTGGACTGAAGCGTAATGCATCATTTAGTGTGTCCAAAAGATAAAAATAAAAACCTGATCTTATCACAGTAGATGATTTCATGAGTATTGCAAGAGATGGATGAAGGAAGAGAACAATGGATGACGCCTACTGGTCCTTGCTGGTGAAGAATTCTCCAGATGATCCGTTGGTTTCTGTTTCAGTCCGTTCAGAAGATAATTCAGTTCCTTCCAGGTTCTCTTCTTTAATCTGTGAAGCTACAGAAACAAAGAGGACTTTGGAATACTGTACTTTTTACTTCACTACACTTATCTGACAGCTTTAGTGCTTTTACAAGATTTAGCTTATAAAATAAGATGTTTTGTTGTGGAAAATAATCTACCCAACAGTTTACACAAGTACAGCTGAAACCATTAGTCCATTAATCAATTAGTCGATGGACAGAGAATTTATAACTATTTGTAAGTCGTTAAAGCTTCTAAACGTAGCTTTCATTAAACTGCAGTTAACAGCGCCACCAGTGGCAGTGAACTGGCAGTGACCAAACACTGAACGCATGTAAATCTTGACAATCATATATGAATAACGTTTACCTATCCTTGCAATGTTCTATATTTATTTAGACGATTTAAGATCTATAGCGACCTAACTTAGGCTCACCGTTTACTAAATCAGACATCAAGCCACACCACGAAGCAGACCAACACCCAGACCACTACCCGTACAGCGGCCGACTCCCGAGACCGACACGTACAGGAGACCGACACCAGAACCCACACCGTACAGAGACGACACCGAGACACACACCGTACGAGACCGACACCAAGAAAGCACCCGACAGCGACGACACCAAGACCAACACGTACAGAGACCGAACCAGCCACACCGTACAGAGACCGACACCAAGACCCCACACCGTTACAGAGACGACACCAAGACCCACCCGTACAGAGCCGACCAACCCAGACCCACGTACAGAGACGACACAGACCCACACCGTACAGCGACCGACACCAGACCCACACCGTACAGAGACCGACACCAGACCCACACCGTACAGCCAAGATACAGCCAGCAGGACAACCCCAGTTAGCTTAGCTACAGTTAGCTCGCTAGATGCCCTCTACCTTGTAGAAAGCTATCGTTATCTTTGTACCACTACATAATTCATTGTTGGCTAAAATCAGAATACATAAGTTAGCATCTATTTTTCATGTAAGAATCACTATTTTAAGAGGTTTTGCAAAGTGATCAATCAATGGATTAATGGATCAATAATCAGTAGATGGATCCATAATGAAAATAATCCTTAAATAGTTGAAAATGAGCTCCATTGATATGATAATAGTGTGTGTGTGTACCTGCCCCCCCCTCCGTGTTCGGGCTGCTCTCGGGGTCAGCGGAGGGGGGCTGGGCCGCTGAGGCAGGAGTAGGGGGTGATGGGTAATCGGGCGGAGTCTCGTTCTCGTCTCCCGATAGGCTCCTGGGGACGCCGGTTACCACGACGCCGGAGAGGCTGACGGGTCGCTTAGTGATGGCCAACTTCCTCTCTGAGAGAACAGGGAAAGGTCAGTGAAAACAGGCGGAAATAAACAATTATATGTATTATTTTCAGATTTTATATATATATGTAAAATCGGGAGACGAGAACGAGACTCCGCCCGATATATATATACATATACGCGTTTGTGTTAATTTCTGTTTGTTCATGGGTGTTTCTGATATTAACTGTTTGTTTTGGAAGCTTGAAAGTGCTTTAAAAATAGTATTATTTATCAAAATCTGTGATGAAAACCTCTAATTGAAAAAAACATAATCTCCTTTTGTCTGTAAACATTTAATCTTACAATGTATGAACCAAATTATTAATTATTATATTCATGTGGTTCATTCACCATTCAGACAGAATGATGAGTGATGTGAAGCTGCCGCAGTAAGTAAAGAAGTAAAGAATAATGAAATCAGCCATTTTATTCATTCGATTTATTTCATATATAGAAATTATTTAAAAATACATTTACACCAAAGAAAATGGAATTAATGTGTTGATAAATAATAATTTTAAAGTCAGTGTAAAAGAGATTTGTCCCAATGCTGGTGATTTAATATTGTAAAATATTCCACAATATAAGATGTTATAACTGCGACCACACTTTAATGTAAACTGATGTTTTACGTTCTGTGTCTTTTTATGAATTAATGTAAAAAAATTCTGTTTTTTGAGACTTACTCTTCTTCTGTCCTTTGTACTGCTGGGATTTCTTCCTCTGTTTGGATGCTGCTGACTGCAGTTCTCTGGAGCCTGAAACACATTTCATTATACAAACAGGAAACATATAAAGTTATATAAAGATAACTCGCTCACTCCCAGGTACCGGGTCTTCCCACCCTATCGGGGTGTGTGTTACCTGCGTTGACAGCAGGAGGCTGCAGCTGATACCCGGTCAGCTGACACCAGCCAACCGGGTACAGGTCAGGCGACTCGCAGTCCACCCACTGATCGTACTCGTCCTCCCAGCCGTCAAAGTGTATCCGTAGCAACCTGTGGACGATGCGGGTCACCGTGGCGACGCAGACCAGCCTGGGCTCCATGAGGTCCACGGCCTCTAGCTTCATGCCGGGACGGAAACCGTGGTTAGGGACGTCCTAACGGAGGACAGAGGACGGGTTTGTTGATGAGGATGGATGTTGGTCTATAAAAGATCCTACTGATTTATTTTTATGTTTCATGTTTTGTGTCCATTGATGGATTAGTGTTAAAATCTACAAATAAATTAAATCAACTCAAAAGAGCCCAAAGTGACATCTTCAGATACAGAAGCATTTAAGAAACTGGCACCATAAAATATTTTGCTTGTAAACTGACTTAAAGGTTTTATATATATATATATATATATATATATGAAGGTGTCGCAGTGGAACGCCACAATCTCAGACCTAAACAAACAGGCGCTGAGGCCCACCAGACTCCATTCACAAAACCAGTCATTTTACCTAAGCTAGCAGATAATTGTGAACACACTTCAGAATGACAGAAACAAAACTTTGTTGATCTCTCCAACAATCTAACGCTGGTTTGGTCAAAATAATCCTTATTAAATCAGAACTGTATTGCCAAAAACGATCTCATGGCGGAAAAGATCCTTTTGGACAAATTCCACCTCAAATTGTCCACTAAAGATGTGGTGGATGGGCTTCAGGTTTGTTATATGTCAAGTGCTGACAGCTTATGAAAAGGAGTCCCTACAGAGATAGACCTTTAGTTTAACCACAAAACAGCCGTAATATCACTATCACTCTCCACCAGACCTACCAGAGACAACAACACTCATTTTCCTTCAGATCAATGTAACTCATTAAAGTGGATCAGAAACAGAATCAAACTCATTTAAACTGTCTCTGTTAAGCAATCTTATCGTGTTTGGCTGACATTGGTTGAAGGTGACGGGCAGCACCCACAGGACTTTGTCTCCTTCAGAACCAAGCCATCTGAAGGGAAGGTTTGGTGTAACCTGACCACCACAAACACAGAGAAGTATATAATGATCACTTAAATAGTTAACTCATATTTAATATAAAAGATCTGTGGTTGTTAAAATTGTAGTTTCAATTGAGATTGGAAGAAATGGTTTGAAATCTATCCAAAATAAAAAACGGCGTTTGGTGTATTGTAGGTTTAAAATCACCAGAGAGAACGCAAGGAGAGGTTCATATTCAACAGGCTGGGATCTATGAATTGATATGTGAATTCTTGGCTAAGATTCGACAAGTTTTTCCTTGTGCTAAATCAAAGAAGCAGCAAGCTGTTGTTTCGAATGAAG